ATTCAAAACATAAGAAAAAATAGTATCCATTGGATTTGGTTGCAGTATGATTTTAACAACTCATACTAAAAATTTATTTTACCATCATTATATATATCCATAGGATAAATCTATAATACTGTATGTATAACACATGTTATTGTGACCCAATACTTGTGGGTATAATGAAAATATATATTCACTAATTTTTTCTAAGATTAAGTCACTTTTACACACTCTAGGAGATGGTCAAGCATCATTTAATTTCTTGACGAAAATGAAGTTGAAACTAGAATTTCTTCCTAGAACAAACCCCTCTAAAATACCTTGCTATGTAGACTTCATGAGAAATTTTGAAGTATGATTTGAGTTCTGCAGCTATTGAACTTTCTATTGGTTAATCAGGAGATCATTAATCGAAACTTCGTAAAGTTAAAAATTCATAAATTAATTGTCATAAGCATGGATACAAAGACGTAAATGTTATGGCAAATGGCTACTAGGTTTTCAAGATTCATATAAGACAACAGTTCCTCAGACCGAAAAATCTAAACAATATTTTGTTTTTGAGAATCACAATGTAATTAGTTGAATATAAACACGACTTTTTCCACTACATTTTAACTTAAATGTAAATATCAACCCAGCGTAAAATGAGGATTTAATTTTCCGCAGTTTTAAACATCCTTAATATTCGCCAAATCAAGCATTATCCAGTGAGGCATACATTTTACGAGAGTAATTTCGCATTAACTTATAACATTAAATTTGATAATCAATCACGTCTTGTTTTGAAGTATCTGACACTGTAGCTGATGGTTCCTGGTCTAGAGGGGAGAATTACTAAGCGGGATGTATTATCTGTATGAAACATTGCTTGATAGGACACCAGGCATTGTATTTCGGGTCAAATATAAAACACGGAATATGAGGCAATGATTGGCAAAATTGACACGCTCCCACACAGGGAGTGATGATTAAGAGTCATTAAAATATGGTCGATGTATAATATTATACATGGAGTCACTGTAGACTGGAATACAGTGATCTCCATAGAAATGGCAAGTGGTTAACAAAACATGTGCACACCTACTTGAAAATGAGAAAATCATAAAAATTGGTACATGTTTATCATATTTTGACTACCCTCCCATTAGAATTGTAGTAAAATGAGAATTTTGCATCCTTTTGAGAAAAATCCTTGGTACAGCACAGAGACATATATCTTAATACTAAAAAGTATAAGACTTAATAGTGTTTTTTGGGGTTTTTACTAAATAAAAACAAAATACTGATAATCAAAGGGGCAATCTTCAAACCAGTTGGGAAAACTTTACAGTCAGATCAGAAAATCTGAAAATTAGCGATGCCATAATTCATCACTGCATGATACATCATGCATACTGTATTTCATTTGGACCACTGATTCATTCTCACTATGACTGACCCCAGTGCTTAACATCAAAGCATTGTTGTTTCAACTTTCTTCAAATATCTGAGTTATAACCACTACAGTAAAGTTTTGACAAGAGATATGCGTCTTGTCCAATGACTCAGTGTATTAAATGGCAAGATATGCATTGGCATGCAAATGACAACCTTCCTATTGAGATTAGCTCCTTCGCTTTTTTAGGAAATCATGATTTTTTCATTGACATGCAAATGACAACCCTCTCACTGAGATTAATTGCCTTGAATTAGTTTAAGAACTATCCCTTTCAGGAAACATGGATAGAAATACAGTAATGTTACAACTGCATGGCCATACTAGATTCACCATAGTCTTTGACCCCCCCCCCCCTGAACACAGCAAAAGTAGAAGTTACAGGGTATTAACCAAGAAAGATGTTATAGTATAATAATATTATAATAAGCTGAGTTACTTATATCTACTCCGTTCCCCTAGAAGTCTTTTTTTAAGTTGACCAAAATAGTGTACAAAAGTGATCATTTAGCTACCTTAAAGTTTATTACTTCTTGAACTCTATTCTCAGAATCTATAAGACAAAATGTATCTTAACAGTTAAACTACCTTAAAATACATTAATCTACTACTTATTGGGGAAAACGCATCATAACACTTTAGCTACCTTAAAGTACATTATTCCTAAAATATATAATAACACTTTAGCTACCTTAACATACACTATTTATTGAACTCTATTACCAAAACTCATGTGGGAAAATTATCATAACACGTAAGCTACCTTAAAGTACATTATTCCTTGAACTCTATTACCAGATTTTTTAGGGTAAGATGTATTGTAACACTTTAGCTACCTTTAACTTTACACTACTTATGGGGGAAAACGCATTATAACACTTTAGCTACCTTAAAGTACATTATTTATTGAACTCTATTACCAAAATTCATGTGGGAAAATTATCATAACACTTAAGCTACCTTAAAGTACATTATTCCTTGAACTCTATTACCAGATTTTACAGGGGAAGATGTATTGTAACACTTGAGCTACCTTAAAGTATATTATTCCTAGGACTCCATTTAAAGTGAATTATGACTTGGACAAAGTATAGTGGCAATCACTTGGAGTTAATTTCACGCATCTGATCCCATACATAATATAAGTGCATATAAATAAGCAGCAGGAATATGGCCTGTGTGATTTGGTCAAAAATACTTAACTGACCGATCTAATCATGGTATATGATGGTGATATATATATTAGTACAGATTGCAGTTTGACAAAGAAAAATTAAACAAAGACATGCAAACCTTAAAAACAAGGCATTAACATGCAAAATGTCACCATATGCCATTTGTTACAGACACCAACCGCTGAATGCCAAATGCCAACCAACGAACACTGTCCACAGAAAAGTTGGAGACTAACAATATGTCACCACTTTTGGTAGTGACATGAAAAGGAAACATGTCATCTCCCCAATAATATTGATAGCTTATTATATGGGTGCTGCACCTAGTTGAAACTTTAAATAACATTCAAAGTAATTGTGGAACAGTTTTACAAGCAAATGAGTCGCCTTTCTGTTGAACCCTAATCAGAAAAATACCGTTCACCCATCTGATAATTCACTTGCACCAAAATGAGATATTGTAAAACCATGAATGATTTATAAATTAACAAGTTTTGGATATTTGTACATATATTTAATCAGAATGCCATTTTATTCCCAGTATGTCAAACAACTGTGAATAGTGAGAGAAATTCATGGGAGATCACTGCTTTAGAGTTTGCTCCTTTAGGAGACAATGGGTTGAAATTTCATCAAATGCTACAGACCTCAAATCATACAGTAAAAGCATCCCATTTAGTGATGACAATAATGCATTACTTGGAAAATAATGCACTTTTAGCCTTGCCAATTTTGCAGTGTATAAATGTACAACATCTGATAAGAGAAATAAACTATAGGTAAAACAGATTTATAAATGATATATCAGGGTTAAGAGAGATTACATTCTTTGTACCATTAACACCGCTGAAAAATCAAAGTAGGCCTTGGATAACATTTTTTGGACCTGTCTGCATGACATAAGTGTGCAATCAAAATAAATGTTAAATGGTCAATCTAATCAATCAGGGATACATAACTAGAAACTTTTATACATTGACAATTCTTTAATAAATTGTTGTTACCGTGGAAATTATGATGTCATAGTAAAACAACAACCGACTTAGGAATTTTTAACAACAAAGGCTTCTGGTAATGACATCCAAATGACTACCTTAACTGATAACAAATCAAAACATACACAGGAGAATATAGCAGGATTTAAAAAAGCTATTGTGAGAATAGTGTTTGGAGGTGCACATGACAGTAGACTTGATAATGTTTCAGATTGGTTTGGGTTAACTTAAGGAGCTTGTTTTCCGGACTGGTTAACCTGACTGAATGCTAAGTTCTTTTTTGTATGTGATGTTGTTTTGTAGTGAACTACGCGGAACTCAGGTATGGTTTAACAGTTCAAGTTAACCTATAAAACACAAACGAATTGTTGCAATCAATTGAACTGAAACATGATCAACCCTTTTCTTGACATCCTACACAGAATAATGAAAATGGTATCTCTTTGATAAACATAGTCTCAAGTAACTCAATGAGGGAAAGATGATCTTGAAAAACTCCTTGTTATAAGTTATAAGTATAACACAAGTGCTTATCAAATTACAGATACCATGTTGCATTGTCTAACTCCTCTGGCCAGTCCTTATTATGGTAAAAATATAAAGAACTAAATAGCTGAATACCTTGTTTTTAATAAACAAAATAACTGTAACTTACACCACACATAATACGTACAACACTGTGGTGATAAAATAAGTCCATATTTTGAAATAATGTTCTCGAGTGTCACTTTTGGTGCATACTGGCCGAATTCACTGGCACTTTATAGATGGCACTTTCTTCAGCAGATCATTTCTTCTTGGTTTCTGTTTTAATTTAATGTTGGTTTATTTTGACAGTTGTTTTCCAGAATGACAGGTCCTTTAAAGTAGTTTGTGTCTCTGTGTCTCTTTTTACTCTGAATACACTGTCGATTTCTCAGGATCATGGTACCAGAACCATGGTTGACCTTAAGAGGTCAAGGTCAACACTTAGTCAAGACTATAGTACTAAGTTACAGCATGACACACAACTGAACTGGAAGGAAAGGTGTTAACGAGCATAGAAAGTAAAGGAAATCGAAAGTAAAAAATTAACCCTTTGCAGGCTATGTCTGACTGTTGGTCAACCTGCAATGAGCTTTGTACTTACGGTTTATCGTTTTGACATCATCTGATGTCATAATGTTGTGACGTCATAATGTTGCTGTTGTCAATTTGTGGACAAAAATGTCTTGCAGATTATGATGTCATGCAAGTATTTAATGTGATTCGTCATCCTGGTCAATTTATGGCATTAATTACCATAGTAACATGCCATATTAGGGAAACTTTGAATCCAAAAATCTGAGAAAACCTCCCATATGAGATTTTACCATCAGATTTTCATCTCAATTCTTTGGTTATAATTAAATCAGCTTGTATTCTGCCTCAGGATTTGTCAGATCCTAGAATGGCCTTCAGATATTCATCAATATCGAGCCCGATTTCTTGACACTTTGTAATGACGTAGTTGGCAGACTCTTCCGTTCCATTGGATATTTCAAACAGGACGAACTGGAAAGGAAAGATTATGTGTCTGGAAGAGAGAACAACATTTTGTTAATGTTATTATCAGTGAGATAAAACTTCATGTAATTTCATATATTATTTCAGATTTTTATAATTAACAACAAACAAAATTGCTGTTAGAAACTGTCATTTTGGCGAATTACATATTGAACTATTTAATAGGATAAAAAGTTTTAAAAAAAATTATAGACCTAAAAAATTGAAAAGATAAATATCCATGTTTGATATCAAAGATTAAAATCTTATTGGTTATAATTTATTTATTATTTTGATCTAACATGATAATGTATAATATGTGTTTATTCTAAATTTAATTTCAGCTAAAATATCATTAGATTCACTACACCAGATGTGAAGCCTGGGGGCACAAAACACTTTCTCCATTACAAGAGGCTAATGACCCCATTGACGATTAATTTCTCATATCAATAGATATCTTTCAAGTTTAGCACCCATTAACTGGTATCAAATCAAACCAATCATTTTCTTAACAGTTTCAAATATGACAAACAGCAGGTGGTGTGCAAACAAAATGAATTTTTCAAAATTATTTCAAGATAATTTTTACACTTCATTGTTTTCTTAAATGTTTGATTGATCGTCTTTGTTTTTTAAATAAAGTCCAAAAAATGATAACAAAAAGTGGACATTTTTTATCGCTCGCTCGAATTATCTCGTTTTCTGATTGAGCATATTAATCAAATCTCAACTGACCACAAAGAGGATGCTTTAATATATTTAAAATAGCTGGTGCATATTATAAACCACAGACTCATAAACACAGTTATCATTAAATACTTAATCATACAAAATGATCATTCTGCGCAAAACATCAAATCATTCATTAATTCGCGAATTTGGAAGATCTCTCTCTGGAAATCACATGACTTTCCCTTATATGGAAGTCATGTTTAGCCCTCTCCCACCAAAAAAGGAAAACTGCAAAGAATTCCCAAAAGTTGTAAAAAGGTGCTTTGACTGGATAAATCTTGTAAAACATATGTTTAAGACGATGTTTGTCAATAAATATTATTAAGGAAGATTTTGACTTTATCTGAAGAGCTGATATTAAAACGAGACATCAAAGTGCAAGAATAATAGAATTTAATTTAAAGACATCTGTTCTCATAAACCAGTTATGATCAAATGATCCTCAAAGTCGCTTGCTTAATCAATGATTGATTAATTTTTAATTGAGAGTTTAAAACTTGAATTCCACCCATGTGAACATTTTCCCGAATCAATATCAAATATATATCTGTACACAAGGCTGCTGATATTGAACAAAAAAACTTTCAGTAAAAAATGACCAGCAAAAGGACTAATTCTGAAAGAAAATATTAAACATTACCAGGTGCTAAAAGAGAATATGATATGTGTTTGCATTAAAATCAATCCCTATTGCCAAATACTATGACATATAGAGATCTATGTGCTATTTTGACATCCCAATTAACCTAAATTAAAGGCATAATCACTATGAGGCATGCTGTATAATAAAACTTCTATTCATATATATCAGGTATGCCAAATTAACAACTTTCTTGCATGCTACTTTTTCTTCACTTTTCTCCCTCAAAATATTTTGAGTGAAATAAATAAGTGTCAGATACAACTAGCCTTCAAACAATAATTTGCTATCAACCCAGAAAATAAGATTTACAACAAAGTATGATGATTTTGCTATTCACATTTTGACCAAGATTTGATTTAGGATTTAAATACACTTCCAAATCATGATGTTTTTGACAGACTGTAGTGAACTTGTGTGAAATGTACATGTCATGCGAATTAGCCAATTTTATTAGAAATATCACTTCACACCTCCAATATAATTATCTTGCATTGACACTTATCCTGGTGAATTATGGAGTAAATAATTTTTTCCCAGCATGTATAATAAACAGTCTAAGGCCTCCTCAAACATAGACCAAACCCCCAGGCCCGTAGCCAGAATTTTCCAAGGGGGGTTCACCTTTAAAAAAAATTCGCTCGAACCTCCCTAATCCCCCCTGGCTATGGGCCTGACCCCCCCCCCCCCAATGTCAACTTGCATGTACTGGTTGATTATGCATCGTTTGTGGTTGTCTATGTGAATGTACCCTCCCAGAAAGGTTTGGAAGCGTTCCCATTCGCCAGAATTGACAAAGTACTCAATTCCCAAGATTGCTTTAATGGATTTGTTTATGTTTGAGAAGGCCTTTATATCTTAAATTGATAGTAAAACATTGACCATGATGAGCCTCTCTAAAACTTTACTCACAATCCCCATAGAATAGTGTCATTTGTGAGTCAATATATAATAAAATTGCAAAATAGTGACCTTGACCTTTCAAGGTCACCATATAAGCAGCATTATTTGTTAAGTTTAACATAACTTCATGATGATTTCATTCTATCTGTATCTAAATAGTGCACTAAAGTGACATCTAATTGAAGCAAACTACCTCATTGTGAATATGGATATCTCATGCTGTACTTGTAACAATACCCTTTGCATTCATTCGACTTCGTTTCATCTTCAGTTATTCAATAGTTTATAACTAGACTCTGTGCACAGGGGTATAATTGTAACAACAAAACAATGTCTATCACTTCCAGAGTGAAAGGCTACATGCACATAGGAATTTTGGCTTAAAACGGGACTTCTTGGGGCCTCATTTTCAAATATATCATATTTGAAAAATAGACTTTTTAAAAAATGATATGAAAAAGTGGGCTCGAATTTTCAAAATGGGTTAGAGGTATTTAAAAACAACATCTGGGATTGTACCAGCCATAAAATTTGAACCAAATCAGATAAATTGTTATTGAGTTATCATCAATACACACAAACAGAAGGATGATCGTTTCTCTATATACGGATTAACATCTGGATCCTTTATCATCTGAACCTTAGTGTGATAGTTATAGCAAGGCAACATTATTTCAGTTAAATTATTTAATATACATTACGATAAGACACATAAACATACCACAGTGATAAATATTACACTTTAAAAAGACTACAATCAGATTCCATTCAAAGTAGATCAGATTTATAGCGAGATTAAATGTATAAATTGTTACGTGTTTCCATAGACTTGACTCCAGGGGTAGCGTCTGAACTGCACGCTGGTAAAGCTTTCTTATCTGAAGAACCTGAAAGAAAATGTTCTCCAACAAATATGGTATCCTTACTTCAATGGACTGTGGGAATAAAAGACCAGTAAATCCAAGGACTGAGGGTACATTAAAGAATTGAAAGTACATAAAAGGACTGAGGCCACATTAAAGGATTGAGGGTACATAAGAGAATTGAGGATACACTAAAGAATTGAGGATACATTAAAGGATTGAGGGTACATTAAAGGATTGAGAGTACATAAAAGGACTGAGGGCACATTAAAGGGTTGAGGGTACATAAAAGAAGTGAGGATACACTAAAGGATTGAGGGTACATTAAAGGATCGAGAGTACATTAAAGGATTGAGGGTACATTAAAGGATTGAGGGTACATAAAAGAATTGTGGATACATAAAAGGATTGAGGGTACATAAAAGAATTTAGAATATATTAAAGGATTGAGGGTACATTAAAGGATCAAGAGTACATCAAAGGATTAAGGGTATCGTTAAAAGATTGAGGGTACATAAAAGGATTGAGGGTATGAATGAAGAGATAGTAAACGTTCAAACAAGACAGTTTATGTGGGTAAAGCATCAAAGGATAAAGGCCAAACATGGAGAAATTGGAAGACATCAAGTAGATGACATACACCCAAGAGGGCATACATAAGAGAAACATCAAATATGAAGCACTAGAGATCATTTATACATTGAATCTTCACGAAAAATATTTTGGGAAAATTATGTTACAAAACTGAATTTAAGGTGTGCATAGTGCGGCCATTTTGGAATGTGTCAGATAATACGATGTGACATGTGATTATATCTAAGTATATCTCATTTCATGCAATAATAATGCATAATCTGATTTATGTTATTATTTGTATGGAATCTATATATTACCTTGTCTGTATTACTGCTCTCTCCCATCACAAAAGCAATAGCACTAAAATTGTAAATTTGACAAGGCGTAACATAAAATTAATTATTAAATATATTTAAAACGAGTATTGAGTTTTTGGGTTGACTGAAAATGGATGAAATGGATTGGCTCAGAATATATTTTTATTCATCTATTCATTTATTTAGTAATCATCTTTGAATATGTACTTACAATTTCCAGAGTTTAACCAGAGGGGGTCTGTCATACAGTGCTGTCTCCAAAGTCCTCCTGGCCATGAAGGCATGTTGGGTGTGTTCCAAACTGAACTCACACATTCTACGAAATGAATAAAGGAATCTATATGATGTCATGAAGGAATGCATATGATGTACATGATGTCATGAAGAAGTAATGGGACAACAAAAAGTGTTAGACTCAAGAAGTGTTCAACTTATAGTGCTATTTCAAAAGTCTCTTAACAAGAAGTCAATGGGTCGCAGGAGTTATTTACCCAGCATGTCCAAAACGTAATCAGATCTTGGCACTATAGTGTGCTCTTGCATCTGTAAAAATTTAAAGTTTAACTGGTTCATCAGCATAGGGCAAGAGTAATATATAGCACTTTGAAAAAGTCCAATAAAAAACTACAAAAAAAGTAAGTATACATGAATTGGTATTTTACCTAGTAATAAGTTGTAGATTATTTGGCATGGAAGTTAAAAATCCCTGATAGGCTTCAAACTTGTCTTCAACTGCAATACATTCAACATACATCTCCACCACCCTGTAGTGGAAAGAGTAGTCAATGTAGGTCAGTGAGGGGTTTGACTGGAAGGAGAACTTTGTTGTGGTTGTCATGAGACACCTATTCACCAGACTGTGGAACTGTTTCAAGTTGGGTTCATTTTCGAGACACTTTGTTAGTCTACTTCTTTGCCAAGATAGATACCTGAAATAAATTTGTAAATTAGTTATGTACAAAATTCAATTCGTGGTCCAAAGAAATTGAAAACTGGGAAAGTGATACACAGTGACATAAAAATAACATTTTTATCCAAATCTTGAAATAGAACAAAACTAACACTGATTCAAGAAAACATATATGTACTTAGTATTACTTACCCCCACCACATTCCCTGTGCGTCTTTGTAAGATTTTAGACTATAGATGGCACCTTCATAAGATTCTATGGCATGTTGAATGTCTCCCTGGAGGACTAATAGACTACTGTAACACAATATTAAATAAATGTTTATAATTTAAATACATGATTGCCAATTCATCGAACATATTAAACCTGATCTAATTGTATTCATACACCAAGCATGCTCCTTCTTTCATTGTGCAAAAGACATGAACATGATATGCTACAGATGCCAAACCAAACACCAAGCACAAAATGCCAAACACCATCCACAAAAAGATTGGAGACCATAACAATGTCACCACTTCTGGTGGTGACATAATAACGTCATTTATAACATACCTATGATGATGTATAGTGCAAAGTGTACACAAGACAGCGGGCCAATATAGGTTTTGAAAAGCCCGCGCCCGCTAACTTTCTGATTGGTCAAGGCGCTAACGTCATAACCAATCAATCGAAGATAAAACTGCGCGAGCAATTTTTCTAAACTCATTTCAATCATTTTCAAACCATTTGTTTGTCAATTCTATAAGAAAACGGTACTCTCTGACCAGTCTACATCATCATAGGTATGTTATAAATCGTTTATGTCACTATCGTGGCACATATGCCCTCGGTTCTCAGAGATCAATGTCCCTCCCAAGGTCGGGCCATATATCACTGAGACCTTGGGCATATATAAAGCCACGATATTGACATAACCTCTAAATATTTCTTACCAGTAATTGAGCCAAAGGTACAAGATGTTGTCCTCTACATAGCTAGGTGTGATGTGAGGCTGTAGAGGGGGACAGTTGTATGTGATAGGTACCCCACCCAGGCCCAACAGCTTGCTGAAATAGCATACATAGTGAATAATACTGATATCCTAGATTTATAAGTGATATATATTTATTCATGAATGGATGATATCATCAAAAGTGAGTGTGCAGATATCAATATCCATGAGGGTGTTAATGAAACATTTTCAAACATTTGATTGGCCATCATTACTATTAGCCTCCTTTTGATTAAAGTAGTAAAATCTGTTAACCATTGGATACAACAAAGTAGCTCAAGATTTAAAAGATATGTATATTTGATGGTAAAGTGAAAATTCTAAATATTCTAAATATTCCTTGAATTCAACAATTCACATCTCCTACTCACCAAAACAGATAATTTGGATCCGGACTTTTTACTGCATTTTCTCCCTTTGTATCATAGAGAGCAATGACAGAATTCTCCAAGTGTTCGAGGGCATCATCTGGCTCACCCTGTAGCAGCTCAAAGTTGGCAGCAGTGTTGTATATGGCAGGACACGTGGGAAGGGCCTCAATAGCTTCCCTTATCACCTTTAATGTAATCAGGTTAATTTCTTATAAAAGGCAAATAGCGAATGAAAACAACAGGTAAAGTTATTGGAAAGTATAACTGTAACATGGAAATTAAGTGGCATAATCCTTCAAAACAAGATGATTTTGCTTAAAATGAAGAAAATCGTCTGCTTCTGAAAAACTTAGTAAGGCAGTGAGTTTTCACTGTACAAACTTTAATGTCAACTAGCCCATAATTCAAACCTATGGCTACTGCAAGACCAGGTATGAAGTAAGCTGTATTTTATCACATTTGAGTCCATATACATGTAACACTAATCCACATTTCCAAGTTTTTGCAGTCTAGCAATACGTATTACTCTTGCAAATTGTTTGATTTTGACCCTTTTTAATATGAAATCCTTTCATCATCAAACCAAAGAATTTAGATTGAAATATGAGGTTATACCTTACCTTTCTTGTAGCTGCTGGCTGAGTCTGTAGAGAAATGAGACATAACCAGAGGTCTGGGATCTCCATTGATGTTTCTAATGATACATCATTCAATGACTCATCCTTCCTACACTTTGCAGCCTCTGTAGCAACAATGTTCAGCAGCTTTCTCACAACCTTTTTACAATTGGCTTGCCTGGAAATGCCAAGAAGAACCCATAAATCATTCAGTAATGGCAAATTGTGTTACTGTCATGAAATTTTGTGATTTTTTTTATTGGAGTGTGACTATAATATAAGCATATTATTGAGGATACAATGTAAAAAAAACATGGAGTCAAAAGAAAAAAACATTGACAATTCTCTATTTATGACACTTCATCCATAACTATGGTATTGTAAAGCTAATCCGAACACCTCCCAATCTGAACACTTTTTTTTGGTCCCATTTTTCTTCCCATTGACTCCCATGCTTAAAAAACTTGAATATTAGGGAAAATGGCCAGGTCTCAAAAATCATCATTTTTTGGCCAAACCTGTATAGAAATATTATTTACTTATTCCTGTTCAGTAATAGAGAGATCAGGTTCCTGTACAATGGAAGGGAGGTCTTGATTCTAGCTACAGGCTCAGCTTTAGTCTTAGCACAGTCAGCCAATGCTTCAGCAAACTCTTTCTCTGTTGTCTTGGGCTTTATTCTTGGTTGCCAAGGTAACATAAACGGATCCTACAATGCCAAAATGTAAGAGATTTCTATTTTTGAAGAGACTATAAATGAAACAAAGACATGAAATGCAAAGAAACACAAAAAAGTTTGCAATATATGTCACATACAGTATTGTTCCTAAGGGTGCTTTTAACACTGCTTTATCTTCAATACAATATGATTTGTCCTTAACAAAAACAATAGGAAACTTTATCCTACAAAACAAACGATTGCAAAATTAACAAGGCAGTAACATGCAAAATGTCAACATCTGTCATTTGTTACGGATGCCAACAGCCAAACACTGACTGCCAAACACCAACCACCAAACACTATCCACAAAAAACTTCTGGTGGTGACATATTAAAATGAAAGAGTTCATACATGTACCTTGGACCTGATCCTGTCAGGGCTATCTCCACAGTAAAGCTGTTTTACAGGCAAACAATGGAACTCCAATAGATGAGTATAGCACAGCCATAGGAAACACAGATCACTACCCAACAACACGTCATGAGCTCTCGTGCTGTCAGATGATTTTAAGAACACTTTATCCGTTCCTTTAGCATTTGGTTTATCTTTGAGAAAAGTTGTTAAGATTTCTACAGCAGTTTCAAAGTGACTACATTGCACATGTAATTGCACCCAATAGAGTACTGTTTCCAGTATTTGGTGAGATTTAGTTGTATGGTTGATGCCCTCAGCTTTCTGAGTGGTGCCCTCAGTGGCCTGGGTGGTGCCCTCTGTTGGTAGAATGGTGCCCTCAGTAGGTGGAGTGGTGCCCTTTATTGCTGGAGTATCTTCCTCAGATGTCTGAGCAACATCCATGGTTGACACTTTCATTTCGCTTTTAATATTTTCATTTTGAATTTTGTCACTTTTTGTTTTTTCTCTTGCTAATTGATCACTAATTGATGTCTCTGAATTTGGTTTGGTTGCTAAGGTTACACCTGCTGCATTTGAATGTCTTAATAGGAAGTCAAACAGTCTTTGGCACACTGCATCTTTCTCCTTGTATGTTGATGCACTTTGCAGGAACTGCAATGGAAGAAGTACATTAAGATTACATTAATTGGTGAGGTTTGTTCCTGAGGATACAGTCAAAAATGACATTGGTGATTTGAAAAAGAAATTCAGTACATTTAGGCAAACAGGTTCATTTATTAGTGAGGTTAAAGTCGACTTACATTCCACCAAATCTCATACGATGGAGCATATCTCACACCCAGCTCATACATATCTAAAAGATCTGAGGTGTTCTGCCGCTCTCCGAATAACTTCAAGTAATGTTGCCATAGCAATGTATTTGTTTTATTCGCTTCCAGACCTCGGGATAGGACATTTAGAGCCTGTTCTAAGCTGTTATTCTGTGAGCTACAATAGATCAGAAATACATTGTGATATATGGCAGTATGTTTGCAAATATTGACCAAAATCACAATGGTCAAAAACGCTTAATCCAAATAATCTTCAAGCACAGTGAATAATAATTAGCAAACTTTTACCATAAATGAATTGATCTCTTTCCTAAATTGAAATGTTTCCATGAGCAGCCACTAAAATTAAACATTCAATATTTTTATGTAGTTTTAAAATGTGGCAATGACAGTAAATCAAACTAACTTTGAATCAGACAGTTTCTTATAGGCAAGTTTCAGCCATAGGGTTACATTCAGAGGCATTTCTAATACAGCAGCCTCCAGATCTTGAACACTTGAGTCATCCGTTACAAAATACCGCACGTCTTGATCATTGAGGATATCATCAAGGTCCATGGGTATGGCCTGTGAGCTGGTTGTGAAGTCTGCAGGGGTCTTGGGCTTAAAGGTGTCTTGTTTTCGTTGCCTCTGGGGCAACCGCCAACTTCTAGCTTCAGGGAAGGTCCTATGAGGGTGGACTAAAGAAAAATACACCAGGCATTTATTGAGATTGTATTTAGATTATCTGTAAAAAGGTTTATCACAACAGAAATATATCTCAATACAAGAAATCAACACTAAATCATTTTACTCAAGCTCTTCATCATTTTATAGCATAGAAAGTAATCTTAGTTATCATACTCAAAATTGGTGAAATAAATGTATGACATAAGACCTAAGATATAAGATTCATAACAGGTCTAAAGCAAAGGGTAAAATTGGTATTTTCAAGTATTTGGCACACATCTTAGCTTCATACATTCAATCTGAAAATTGAATTATTTCATAAAATGACTCACCATGTCCCGACTTATCATTTACTTTGCTGACCATCAAGAGGCACATCTCATCTGGGGTCATTGTCTTGCTGTTTTGCTTTAAGTAGCCTTTCACATACTCATCTGTATCAATACACAAACATTTTTATTATTAAGAATATTTTATTCGTCTATATATTACATTACTTACATTATATTGATACAGTTTAATGAAACGGATTGGACAAAAGGCTTTCGCCTCTTCTAAGTCCTCTCCTTAAGGACCTCTCCTTTTGACACAAACATTTTAATAGAACACAGTCCAAAATGCCCACATTATTATTTCCCTAAAAATTATCTATATCAAGAAACATTCCCAACAACAATAGCCTTATAACACTACTTGCCATTTGTTACAGATGCCAACAATCAACCACTGACCGCCATCCACAAAAAAGTTGGTGACATAAAAGTATCCCTTCCTCCAAACTTAAACTCTATTTAAAACTTTACAAAACAAAACTAAGTATAATTCAGCAGTTTTCCTGTACAGATGGAGGGTTGCTGTTGTATTTTGACCCTGTGGATGCATGTTAAGCTTAGTTCACACCAACGGCGCTTTGGTAGCGCTTTAAAGCACCATGCAGAGCCGCTTTGCACGACGCTTTAAAGCACCATCAATGCGCCGTTGGTGTGAACTTAGCTTTAGATGTAGATGACATCTATCATCATAATCTTACCAATTTTTTCATCATATTGCTGTGTATCAGTTGCATCGGTAATTCTGGCAACACTTGGGCAATAAGCCACTATGTCTTTGAGCACCTGTTCAGTATTGTATGTGTAGTCCCTAGCATGTTGCCAAGGACATGTGTCATCATTGCACGAGCCATTGAGATCAAAACGACACAACCTTATATGTGGCTCAATGCCATGGCTGTATCGACTAGAACTTATACTGCACTTTTCCTTTGTACGAAAATACACACTGAATCTGTGGAATAAAAAGAAACATACATGTATTGGAGTTATTCAGAAAGCAAATATGCATCAAATAAAATGTCCAAGTAAACATTTAAGAACAGGGAATATTTTTTATTGTAGCAAGTCTTTACTGGATACTGGAATTTCTAAAGAAGAATTGAAAATTAGCTCCCTTTTTAAGTCAGTATTGGTACAAGGCAATCATCTAGACAAAATGTAACAACCTACAAATATATAATAACAGACCTGTTACATCAAGCCAATGCTAAATGCCAGTCACCATAAAACTGAAGTGATGAATAAGAAGTTCATCGAACATCTAAAAAATGGTGAAAATCATTTCAACATATATAATGTATAATAGTACACAAACCTGTAAGATTTGAAGTTGAGCAATGGACTCTTGTAAGTAGACAAGGGGCCAATGTGTCCTTTCTCCTGTGTACCCAATCCTCCCTTTTGTTTGCCAAGCCTCAGCTCAAGATCTTGCTTCTCAGGGTAAAACATACTACAGAGATCATACATGTATTTATTGCTGGGTGTCTGAGTTTGGGGGCTCAGTGAAGCACTTTCCTGATACAATTTCTTCACAGTTTCCAGCTTCTTTCCAGTAGGTAACTTTATATTGAGCACATTTTTGAGTGTTTTACTCTTGTTGAGCATTGGGCCTTCATTCAATGTTGCCTGTGATTGGTCGACATTAACATTCATTTGGTCCGTATCTTTAGTTTTCTCCACATCGGGTTGGTTATTATTTCTTGCCATATTGTTATTTTCCCTGGGTGTAATATTACCTTTGGGGTCAAATAATTTTTGTTGCTCCCCTTCCATTTTGTTAATTCTCATATAGGCTGTATCAGAGTTCAAGTTAGGTTTACTGCTTGGGTTCACCTCAATAAATGAACGCCTACGAGATGTTGTATCATTAACATTGTTAATATCTGTTATGTTAAGGTTTTCCAGTGTAATCTTGTCACCTTCTAACATAACATGTTCTGGTGCATTAGTCTTGTTCTTCTCACAATGACTACTCAACCTCCTTCTTTTTTCTTTAATAGCCATAATTTTAGCACCGGGGGAAGTTACAGTAGGTCTTTTAGGGGGTTTTAGTTTGGTATTTTCAGATTGTTTCAATTTGCGAAGACGTTCAGCCAGTTGTTTTTCTAAAGCTAACAGTTTTCGTTTCTCGACTGCAAGTTCTGCTTGAGTCTTTCTGTGCACTGTCAAGCTGACTGAATCCATCTTTGGTTTCTTAATTGACTGAAAGAAATTTATGTGCATCTAATTAAATATGAGAATCGTATATGATTTTTGAGATATAACTCTTGTATCTTTTTCATTAATGAAAATGCAAAAAATCTCAATCAATTTAAGAAAATGTCACTGACAATTAAAGGACTAAATCCAACGACATAATAGGAGACAATCTCCACTATTGCAACTACTGTATCATTACCTCTACTGGTACAGATCTAGAGACCGAATAGCAAAATGTAAATCAATACTGTACCTGCATTGACTGTGTTTTGATTGGTCGTTTAGAAGGCATTGCAAGCTTAGGTTTGAAATCATCACCATATGCTTTCCTGCCTGCATCAAGTAGTTTCATATCAAGCTTCTGTAGCGTCTCTGTTCTCTCCTTTGTAGTGTTCTGTGATGCATTTGCCTGGATTCACATAATATATATGTATACAACAATCTACTTTTTAATCCATGTAACGAAGATAATGTTTTTTATGGTTTATGTCGCTTCAAAGGTTAATAGGGCATTATTGTATGAGGCGTCCAATCAAAATTTTTGATGACACCTTTCAAAAAAGATTTTGATGAAGCAATGTTGGGGAGCAGCTAAAAAGAGTGCTAAAAACGAAAAATGCCTCTTACCAAAATCCCATTTCTGGTAAATTGGGATGACAACGAGATCATTATATTTTGACACATGATAGCCTTACAATGGAAAATATTTAATAAAATTCACATACCCTTTCTACAAGCTTCTCCATCTGGTCTTTGCGTACATTATAAATCTTCTCCGCTGCAGCTAGTTGCTCACGTAATTTATTCACATTCTTCTCAGCAGATGTCAGCAGCTCTTGTTGCCGAGACATCTGATTCTGGAGGTTGATTTGTGACGCTTTAGCTTGTGAAGCTTCTTCCCTAAATGTATATGAAATATTTAGCTAAAATACTTCAAATAGAGATCACATTTTGTGTAGGATTCTAGAAATATTTCATCAATCATTTTCACCACATTTGATGTCTTGCTCTGTCTAATGCAATTAATTCTTTTAAATAAATAAATGATAAAAAATAACCAACAGTTCATACTTCTTTCAGTTTAATATACAATTTTCTCAGAAGTACCCCTTTTCCAGTTTCTATGACAACTGCTTTATCACGATATTTCATCAGATATCATTCATTTTTTCCAGAACAGTTGCAGATATACTTAATTCCTAATGATAGCGAGAGATATAAAAATAAATTTTCAAACCATTCAAGTGTATGGAAGTGACTCTTAGCATAGTTATCACATATCAGTGTTCTTAAGCAAAACAAAGACTTTCTTTTCACCACCAAATATTTTCAATGGATTGATTAGAATCTTTCATTTGACAACAAAGACAGCTCAAATGGGCTATCAATAAATTGTCAAAAATTTTATAAAATTATCAAAAATAATATTCTTAAATATGCACAGTGCCTCTTTATAGATGGTCATCATACGCTTCTCAAAAGAAAAAAATACCTGAGTTTGAAGATCTTGGCCTCAATAGCCTTGACTCTTGATTCTCTCTCAACCTGTTCAGTAGTTTTCTTAGGGCCAGGGGAGACTGATTTTGTGACCTTGTTCCCTGGTGGTTTCTTTATATCCAGGCCCACCTGAACAGTGTTTTCTTTTCCTTCCATTGCCTTAGCAGCCATACGTTTCATGATCTGTTCACGCAGCTTGCGATATTCATCCTGCATTGTCATAGACATTGCTCTCATAGCATCTGGGGTTGGGTGAATTTTTGCTTGCTCGATTTTCTGTCTAGCTTTGGGTTGAGGTTTTGGTGTGACTGGAGTTTGTTTATTGTCGACAGATTGCCGCATATCTTTGAGGAAAGCACCTAGGTTGCTAAGGAAGGCTTGTTGCTGGGACGATTTTGGTTTTTCATCATCAGAGGAATCATCATCCAGATTGATCACAACAGGCTCATGTTGAGGAATCTGAAAATATATTCAGGACCATATTAGCAAGAGACAATATTGTTCCTCTTAGGTTTGATATGTTTAACTATTATTCACTGTCATATTTCCCACTCTCTGATTGGTCTATGTCCCAGTCCTATGATGACTAGTAATTCCTACATCATCATCAAGTTCAGTTAGAGGCATTCTAAGTGAGGCCGTTTTCTTTAAATTTCTCCAATACATGTGTCGTGGGTGTTTGAACGTTTTCTTGTGATTGTTTAGAATCATCACTTTAGAAGTTTGCATGGCAAAACATTTGGAATCCAGATTCAACCTAGTTTAGCCGAAATCATTGGTTTATCAAAAACAAAAGAATTTTGGCCACCATCTTGAATGATACTAACTGCAGTTAGAATCATCCAGGTGTGGAACAGTTTTCATGTGAATAGGAAATAAGAAGCCATATTCCCTATGAATTAATCCAGTGTTACCTGAACCATACACCCTGGCTAGCATTTCACCCAGTGCACTTTTATACCAAACAAAATATTTCCACAAATCAATGTTTCCAAATAAATATGATAAAAATTAAATTCAGTTTCTTTGCTTTATTTATAGATAAATAATGTCTTAATGAAATATATTGAAATGAGAAGATGTAATTTAATAGCTCAGATGCAAAACTTCTTATTGTTGGTATTTCAGTAATTGTAAAGCTGCCCTAGGGCCCATATACAATTACAACCAGAAAATGGAAATAAAATATAGACTTAGCTAGATAATGTTGGTGTATTGCCCTTCAATTTAAAGAAACTAACAATCAGAAATATTCGGAAAATATTGATTAATATATTCTTCATTAATTAGCTTTATTGCAGTAATTATAACATATTGAAACACCTGTCTTAAAAGTTAGATACATATGATATCTCATTTGATTTTGATATGTTCAGAAATTGAGATGTATTAGTTTAAAAATTGTTATTCAATCATATAGGATTTAAGTAATGCAAAAGTATTGCATTCAAAGGCAATCAGTAATATTCACTTATAACAGCTGAATTTTGATCTACATAATTTTCGGGACATGCTCACTTTGTGAAATGTTAAAATGTGTTGTCCAGGGTTTTATCAGCAAAAGACAATTAATTTAATTTAGAACAAAAGGCTGCACGATGCCCCAGAGATATAGTTGTCACTGTCATAGCCGTAGGGACCAAGGGTTTGATGGGTTCGGACGAACCCCCAGTCAGGGTTTCCCCAAAAATATATTTGTCGAAAACCAGAAACATTAAATTCAATTTATATGACAAGTAAATAAATAAAAACATAATAAAGTTGTACACTTCTTTCCAAAAGTTTGGCAACCTTTGGCACGGGTTGGGGTTGTCTAATTTTGGGAAGACCCGGATCATCATGACATTATGCAAAGAAATAACAATAATTTCGCACAACTTAAAAGCTGCTTCATATCCGGTGAAATAAACCAACTGTATTTGTTCAATTTGTTCAATCAATTTAACATAATTTATTTTTATTTTAACATAAAAACAACTACTTATTGGTTTAATACTGATGAAAACACATTTTCTTTCAAATCTGTGCGCCTTCGTTTTGTTTTATTTCAAACAAAAAAATTCTTGCCCGGAGCTGATTAGTCCCCAAGAGCAAATATCAAATAATAGAAACATTTTGAAATTAGTTATTATAAAAACCACACATGTATGAATCATTTATAAACACAAGCATTTGAATGGGTATAGCATTTATTATGCATCACTTCGATTTCTTTTATATTAAAACTTTGATGGAATTAAAATGCGAAATTATTTATATTATACGATTACAGTTAAGACAAACACGAGCTTCAGTGTCTATAATCAGCCTTTAAAAAACATTCCGATGTGACTGCTATTTACGTCATTAAAGATTCAAAATTCGGTTTAAGTGATGTCATATTTGAAATCTACATGTAAAAGTACATCTAGAAATATGGTTTCCAAAATTGTTGATCAACAATGTAATATTTTTGAAAATGTGACTTCTAGATCGGGTTGATCCCCCATAGACCCCATGTTACAAAATCACAAAAAGTAAAATCTTTTATTGTATTGGACAGATAACATTTTCCTTTCCTGGACATATTTTGATTTGCATAACTATTACATATGTAAGGGTTATATGAAAATTGAACCACTAAAACAGATGTAATTTAAGTTAAAGGGGACTTTCTACTATACCCGCCATGCTATCTGACCCGAACGAGCCACCTGGTGGTGAAACTTTGTTGTAAGGCATTGCAATTTGAAAAAGGTTTAATTTTAGAGCCTACGGAGTACAATAGATTTCGTGTTATTTCATCATCTGTCACTTCTATCGTCAGAGAGTATTCACGTAGCCATAAAGACTTTTTGTGCGCCATGATTAAATAAATATTTCATTCTTCGAAAATATTTGCTAATAATTATTCTTCAATTCAGTAACTAAATGTAAGTTCATAAGGTCATTATGAATGAACATTCCTTAAATTAAAGCTTAAAATGAAATAACAAATAAAATCTTTTGATTTGGAGTTTTTTAGAAAAATCATAATCTTTGTATTAAATTTTGGGAATTGCATGTTTCAGAATTTGACATATCTTTGTGTGAACTCTAAAGTCTATCTCAATAAATTAGAAATGAGGGTTTCTCCCTAAAGTAGCTCATTTTAAAAAGATGCATATGTTCCTTAAAGATGTGTTAGGATTTGCACTTAAACTAAGCTCTATGTTAACTCTTAATTTGAATTTCATTAAACAAATGTAATATTAAAAACATGATCTTGCCTATTCACTTTTTGATGTACAGTACATGTATTCAGTTTTCATTTCAAATAATAAGCTTATTCATAGGACTCTGAATGACATTCTGGTGATTAAGAATTGAATTAATCTTGCATCAAGATCCTGGACCCCCTCTCGACATATCTCTTTAATAATCTGCAATCAAGAAATTGATAGACATAATTTAATCAGATAAATGGCTTTCTAGTTGTTAAGATTGGTGATAAAGTATTTGTTGGAACCTTTATTTAATATTTGTGTAGGGCTTGATATATCTGATCTATATAGGGATTTAGCAAGGGATTATTGGGTCAAATGTATTTTCCTCGCTAATGCCTGGGTCACATTTGCCGCGATTCATCTGCCGCCGATTGAGTATTTTGTTCTAAACTGAAATATGTGTTGCAATCAAATGTTTCGAAAGTCATTCACCATGATCTAAGCAAAACATTATTAAAGCTCTTTTTTAGACTTTCAATCAATTTAAATCAATCAAGTTTGAATGCTATCTCGCATATATTGCATACATGTATTTGCAGATGTGGTGATTGTATCTTACATTTTCACATAACAAGAGCTGTCATTTGACATGTAATCTTGAGTTTTCAATATTTTGATACATTTGTTTATTATTTTGCGATCATGAAAGCTTTAATCGGGGATAAAGATTTTGACAAACTCCTTTTGGTTATCACTCTATAGGTGGTTATAGCATTGAACATTGAATTTACACCCCATTTTGGGCTTTTAGATAAAATGCATACACTATATCACAAGTACAAGTTTAAATGGTAACCACTCATTCTGATACTCAGACCATCTCTGCTATGCACAAGAATAGAAGGACACTGAGAGAAAGCCGTGATATCTCACGATGGTAACCACTGGCTTATAGAATGACCACCTCAAATCAGCAACACATATCCCTGTAGACTCAACAGGATACCAGAATTAAATTTCTAATGTTTAATTATATCAAAATATTCCTACTTACAAAAGTGCTAACTGTCACTGAATATAAAGCGACAAAAGTTCAACTAGTGAGATACACAAAAATACTTCATTTAGACACCAACCAAAACTTGCACGCAATCAATGATTAACATAAGTATCAACTAAGGTATCTCTTGTTGTAATATGATTAAAATATAACGGTTCTAAACTAATTGAATAATATATAGATATATGGTTTCACACTTGCAAAATCCAACTTTTCAGTTTAATTTTAATGCAAAAATGACAATATAAAATCGAAGATCTGGCTGTAACTTACAGAAGCTAAAAAAATAAGATGTTGAGATTAATTCAACTTCATGGAAGAGTTAGAGAGAAATCAGAGATATAGCATCAATCTACAGATAAATATGATAAAGATAATCTGTAGAGGATTAGTATCACAACAAGAATCTTTCAGTACTGCATTCCCAGGTTATGCACTGAATGGCAACTTATGTCTATTAGAATCTTTCAGTACTGCATTCCCAGGTTATGCACTGAATGGCAACTTATGTCGCTGACAAAGATATAAACCCTAGACTCAGAGTTTGTCCGATTCTAATGTAATAAGTGAATTATGACAACTCAAAAGAATGATAAGTTGTTTTTATTCGAAAAACTGCTACGTTAAAATTATGAACGTTAGACCTCTGGTTTGTTACATCATATAAACATTTCTATGTAAAAAACTCAGAATGTGAACACCTGCCAGTCTGAACACTTGTATATGTATATATATTACTACAATTCAGCGTATATCTATACATGTTTGGGTTATTATCATTTCAACAAAAGCGAAGCCGTCGATTCCCTCAGAGCGATCATCGTGTTCTCATACACTTTCTGTATAGATACTGTCCTTCTATGATGAGTGGTGGAGTAATGGAGTGTTAGTTATTCCACCATGGGGAGAATTCAGGTTGTTTCAGCAAGTCAGTCTTAATACTATGCATTTTTTCAAGACACGCTTCATAGGACACATCTATAATGCTGAGGTAGCCAAGGGTAAAACCTGATTCCCCTTTCGGTTCAACTGGAGAATCGACTTCGAATCCAAACCGACTAATGTCAGAATAATCGGCAAGTTTGTCAATGTTGATAAAATCACCGACTTTCCCGGAGCCAAATGTTGACAAATATGCAAATAAACCAAATTGGTTCGGTTTCAGTGTAGGTTGTTCAGGCGTTATTCCTCTGTTTACACTGAGGTAGGCCTCGGTAATATCTCCCTTGTTCAAAATCTCATCATAGATCTTGAACATGAAGTGGAAGGCCCTGCCGTTTATCTCCATCAGCTTAAAAGTTCCATCCCTGAAGACGAACAATTCAACATCAACGAACTCATTGTCAAATCCAAACTTTTGGAGATTTTCAACTAGTGCGTGAAACACTTTCCATATCTCTTCTTGGGTGTACCTTGAGAGAGCTGATGGGAAGCCACATCCTTGAAAACATTGAGGGCGGTGGGGCCAGTAGATGTTGTCGCCGATAGCCCATGGGACAATCTTACCGTGTGAAACTAGACCGTCCACACCATGTATTGAGACCGGCTCCTGAATAATGTCTATGTATTGTTCAAGCATGACCAGGCCGTCCAAGGCTTGAGGATATTTTTTTAAGTCTAGAAATTGCTCAATGAGGCCCTTGAATGGACTGAGTATACCTTTCACATTATTTTTTATCAGCTTCATCTGATAACGTAAACTATCGTCCTCTCGAGCCACGCCAACTAAACAGGAGGCTGTTCCCATAGCAGGTTTTACGAACACAGGGAAGCTCTTGTTCGCACTAAGAGGCGTATGATTTCTTTTCGCAAAATCAAATCTCGTGACATCAGTACAATCATAGGCGACATTAACACTCGCCTTACTACCCACTAATTGGCGGGTGTAGTATTTGTTGAGGCAGACGTAAGAGCCCTCAAACGATGGGCCGGTAAGATGCGGATATGCTTCCACCAGTGCTGCCTGGACGATACCACCCAAATCAGCAATACCGATTACACATCCTATGGATTCCCTATCAATGATGACACAGCAGTTTGAATATATAATACCCAAATCCAAAGGGGTTTCCACAGCATAGAAATTGGAGTAGAAATAAAATTCATCATTTTCAAAACATCCTCTTTGTTTTTTTGTTTTCACATGCTTCTTTAATACGAGATCCAGCCCTTTAATTGGAGCAACTACCAATATATTCCGCGATCTATCTCTGATGTTAGTCATGTTTGGTACAAAAAGTAATACATGTATGTTCGATTCCTTGTACAGGGTGGTCAAAAAATGGAAACCCTAATTCCATTTTCCTCATATCTATGTCATTTTAAATAATAACTCCCTGATATTTTAAACTTTTGTACATCATTCAATTTGCTACCAGCCTATTTTATTTCAAGACCATCAGATTGATAGTCACAGTGTTTCAGTACTTTAAAGAACATGCCCAGTGGCCACTGTTGTGTTGTGGGGAAGCCTGTATTCATCATCTAAAATGTCCTTACCTGTGGGGAGATAGAGTATATGAGAATGACCTCAGGACAATTGCAAACCTCAAAAGTGAGGTCATTCGTGTCATCTAAGCCATACCTGCTGAGGAATGCATTCGGGTCATTGATAACTGTGCTGTTTTGCCTACAGCGCCATGGTGGCCAAATCTGAAGCATGTTATTCATAGTACTGTAAAATTGTGACTATCAGTCTGATGGTCATGAAATATGGTAGACTACAAATGTGTGAAATATTAGGGAGTAATATATTAACGTGACAAAGATATAAGGAAATGCAGGGTTTCCATTTTTTGACCACCCTGTATATTATTTAGTTGTGCTTTATTAAAACAGCTAAGGCGTCTAACCTTAAAAAAGGTCATCATAGTACCCCGGACAGGTTGAATGATGCAGTCAGGTTTTACTCTATATTTGCAATGGAACAACCATTCTTATTGAAATTTTTAAGATTTATTCTAGAGACAATTTCCAACATGGAAAATAAACATTTTTTCAAAATTTCCAATTTTATGATTTTGACAGACAACCCAGTGGCGAAAAAGGTGTGTTATCAGAGGACACATGACTCAGAGTGACAAGTTTTCTATTGGCCTAATACACTATAATAATATCACTGAATATGACAAAAATGAATAACAATAATCAGCCATAATTAATATGGCATCAAATACAACTAAATCTAGAAAAACTGATGAATATGTGTTGTGTGTTTCATTCCGTGAACAATCCTTACAAGTACAGGGTGGTCCAAAAAATGGGACACTCGGAATTCGAAAATAGATATTGATTTTCTTGATGAAAACATGTCATGTTATATACCAGTGGATGAGGAATCTTTTCATTTAATTTGGCATATTATAAGTTCAAATTTATGATAATGTCTGTCAACTAGCGTCCATAATATAAATGACGTCATTTTCGTTTTAAAACGGGTTTTCCAAAACTAGCAAAAACCAAGTTTTATTGTCAACATTATTTACATAAAGAGATGTTCAATATGTCCGCCATTTTGATCAATTGTTGCCCTCAATTTTGGCCTAAATTGGTCAATAGCATGATTGATATCCTGCTAAAACAATAAATTTCACTTCTCAATAATCCTGTCCTTAAGGGACTGAAACCAAGAGATCTTAAGGATTTATGGTATACCAATTCTGTCAGTCCTCCCTATATAGGTGGTAGTCGCAGACGTTGGGTAATCGGGTGATCTGGGCGAGGCAGTGATAAAGGGGGATGAATCTAAGCATATTTTCCTTAAAACATTTGACACTCTTGTGAGATACATTGCTTGGAACCCCATCTTGTTGGAAAATGTAATGATTTGAAAATAGCTCATATCAGGATGGTCCAAAAACAACATAATTGAACATCCCATGTCAACGTCTGCGACTACAGCGTATTTTGAGAACTAACAGAATTACTTTACTATGAACCCCTTACATCTACTCAGTCCCTTAAGGACAGAATTATTGAGAAGTCGAATACACCGTCTCAACAGCATGTCAGTGATGCATTTGACCAGTTTAGGCCAAAATTGAGGGCTATAATTGATCAAAATGGTAGACATATTGAGCGTCTGTTTATGTAAATCAAGTTGCAACTAAGAGCTCCTCATTTTCAATCAGATGTTGTTTTATCATGACATCATAGAACACTTTTGCTAATGAATTCTAGGAATATGATACCATTATCTGTGACATCAATTACATATTGCCCCATCAACAAATAAACAAACAAGTGAACTATATGTCACCTATTCTTCCAAGTAATTAGGTAATTTTTTGTATCTTGTTTCAGTCCAGTTTCGCTACATCTTGGTCAAAGATAAAAACCTAGTTTTGTTGAGATTAAAAATGGTCAATTTTTACATTTTAATCAATTAAAGTTACCACTGCGTTTGTGAATAACAACGGAGAACATTTTTGATATTAAAAAATGGTGTTACCCCTCAAAATCCCTTTCTCGAAAATCGTATTCTTCTCCAAATCCCTTTCGCGCAAATCATATTCATCTCCCGAGAATTTCTGCCAAACAACACATGCCATTTCGTTCAGTTTGGTCAGTATAGCCACCTTGCTAATGCAAAAGAAGATGTGCAGTAGACGATCGTAATACCCGGAATGTGCCTCGTTCACAATTTCAATATATACCGTATACTGTTCTATCAACCAATGAAATTACAGGGGGTGCCAAGTTTGAATATTTTATGTGGGCACCCCACAGCACATATATAGTGATGGTAAGTAAAAACAATATATTCTTATAGTGTAACATATTTTCTATAGCTTGGTGAATTTCATCCTCCTAAGCAGGTGTCCAGAATCCGTACCTCCTTCTTCCCCCGTTATAACCAATTAGGACGTGCCCGATTTAACTGAATCACATGATCTTTAATATGCGCAATGACTTATACATGATTTTTGTCGCAGTGTTGCAACATCCAATCAGATTGTGAGCTCTTAATCGGGGAAATGGTAACTGCTTATCGCAGGGGGTAAAAGAAAGAATATGTTCTGGATTTTTTTTGGAGAATGGTGAATTTTGGTCACGAAACGTTCTGAAATGGGGTCTTCTCATTGGATAATCAGGCCACCATTGCGCTATAGAGCTGGGTGACACTGATAAGCAGAAAATACAATTGCCACTTTAAGTACATTTACCCGTTTTTCTGTTTGTATTAGCCCTTATTCACATCCAACCCAAACGCTCTTACATGCACGACGGAGCGTTTCATTCATGCGGAAACGCAGCGGAGCGAAATAAAATGGCGGCTAATGAAGATTCAACTATGATCGTAAGTATTGTTTCACTCGTTTCTCTTACATACCATACGTTCAATAGCTGTAGGGACCGGGGATTCCATGGGTTCGAATGAACCCCCGGTCAGGGTTTCCCCAAAAATATTTGCTGAAAAATTCATTGCAACAACCAGAAACATTCACTTAATTTATATGACCATAATAAAGTTACACTTCTCTCCAAAAGTTTGGCAACCTTAGGCACAGGGAAGGAATGTCTAATTTTGGGAAGACCCCTGTTCATCATTACATTATGCAAAGAAATAATCACGCACAATTTATTTTCTGACTTAAAAGCTGCTTCATCTCCGGTGAAATAAACCAACTGTCTAAATACTAATAACAAATCTATGCGCCTCTGTTTTGTTTTATTTCAAACAAAAAATTCTTGCCTGGAGCAATTAATTATTAAATAATTTTGAAACATTTAGAAATGAGTTATTATATAAAGCATACATGTATGTATCATTTATTAACACAAGAATTATAATCGAATGGGTATAGTATTTATTATCCATCACTTCGATTTCTTATATTTTTGAGAATAAAATTGTCCAAAAATGTAAAAATACAATTTTCTGAAATTGTCTGGATTTCTTTCATACATATTATAAATATGTAAGTATGTAAAATCCAACATTTTATCAATAATCTTGTCAAAGGAGTGGTATCGATATAGAGAACTTTTTGAACACACGTTTCTCTTAATCAGTCATAAAAAAAATCTGAAAATTTTTTAAAATCAACCAAACATCCTTTGTATAAGTATATAATATTGAGAGGTCTAGAAACATGTTGTATACTGTATAACATGTATTAAATCTGGGTGCTTTATTTTCTTAATCGGATTAAAATTGTTATTGCCGAATAAAAGTTTGCCGACCAGACACCCCTAATGTAAAGCCAAATAAAATATTGCTGACCTGACATCCCTTATATAATTTTGATTTACAACTGATCTACAATTTTAATCACCTCCATTTAATCGACTCAGAAAACCTGACATCCCTAATATATAGATTATGAGTGATAGTTTGAGTAATTCCCACATTCGATAGACTCAGAATTAATACCAGGCCCGTAGCCAGAATTTTCCAAGGGGGGGTTCGTTTTTCTAAAAAATTCTAGGGGGGGTTCACTTTGGCAAATATGGCCAAAAATCACTCAAAAATTAGTCAGAATGGTGAAAAATTGCATGATTTTGTCCGAACCCCCCGAACCCCCCCTGGCTACGGGCCTGAATACCAAGATTAAAAATTGTTAATACCAGGATTAAAAACTTTTAATACTGGGATTTCCAAAGCACTTGGATCCGATTTTATTTATGAGCTTTGTTAAGTTGATACTCGTTAGAAAACTACAATAAGTTGACACTCATTAGACAACTACCATATTAAAGCTCATTAAGATCGATCTTCAATATCTTAATTACATGTATATTTCCGAATTTTATGTTGCCGTTTCTGTTTTACATTCGGCAATCGGCAACTTTATATCCCGGCAATATTTCATGTTATACAGTATGCTATTTTGTTCCAACAAGGCTCGGAAAGACATTTTATTTCATTCTCAAGAATTGGTAGAAAGGAGCAAAAACAATTGCACAAAAAAAAATGTTAACAAATAAAGTTATATAAAATATTTCTAAATAATTTTTGCATTAAATTGTTGTCAATCAGTCAACATTACACAAAATACCGTGTTTTTTTTACAGAATGTTTTCAATGATTGGTTTAAGAGAAAAACATTGTTGAATTCATTTCTACATATCGATACCGATCCTTTGATAAACTGACTGCTTATTAGGTGAATTATAATGTTCCATGTAGTGAACTCTCCATCTCCAAAAAATCATAGAAATTCCTTCAAAATTGAGATAGTTTTTCCCAAACTAAGGAGGTGACGTTTCTGAGGCCACCTTGTACAATTGTTCATGTTACTTAGAAATTTGTCAGCCCCATAGA